CCCCCCCCAATTTCAGGAACCACTAGTTATGAGACACCCTGCATATTTAAAGAATCTTCAAAAAGTGAAATTGCTTTAAATCGGCCATTTTGTATACAAAACATTGATGCAACAATTCGACAGGTATTTTAGCTGAAATTTGATATTCTATAATTTGTACTCTAATATGATATAATATAATATAATTATCAAATATTAAAAATAAATTTAAGCTTGAAACCGATATGCAACAAGTCCTATTTTACACCTTCATACATTCCCAAATCGGTCGTCAAATATTCAACGAACTAATATTTCCATATTTATTAATTTTCAATCTCCGTATGACCTACAGAATACTAGACAATATTCTTGCAAAACGCATGTCCGATTGAGCGTTTATATTTGAACAATTCTCGATTCGTTGCGTTCGGTTCGTTAAGCGTACTCAACGCGAATCAAGTTGCTAGAAAGGGACATATCGTTTAGTTCACTTAGATACATGTGTAACTGTGTTAGTTTGCACAGTTGCCTATCTATACACGGGGTGTTCTATAAATCTTGATACAGGACACGATACTATATAAAAGAATAAGTCAAAAATGTGGGACAAAATATTTCGATCTAAACCATAGTTTTTGTGGAAATCAGGTATGAATATTTGCGAGGTACATTCGATTATTTGAGAGCTGTTGGTTCAACTCAAGTTAGGTACTGTTAGTGTAATGATTAGGTACTGTTAGACACTGATTTAGTATGATCTCAAATAATACAGCTAGTTTGAATAAAGAAGTTTTTCTTCGACTCTCTTTTAACGTTTTTGATGCGACACTTGATGAGCGTCCATTTTGTAGTATGTACTCTGTCAAGATGGCGGCGACTGGGGCACTGCCGCTACACATGTCACTGTAACTTGTTACAGCTTCAAAAATACTGCTAATTCTTTAGTAGAAATTAGATGGACCACAATATTAAGCAAGATTGCAAGATTAACAGTCCATATTGCGTACAAACGAGCCAGAGTAAATTACAAAGCTACCTAAATACACTTGAATATTCAATCTCGACTTCCCCAAAAACTACAGACATACAAATTTCGTTGTACCTTCTCAATTTACTTTTTCATACGGAATCACCCCCTCGGCACGACTTATCGAACACCCCGTATACAGAAAATTCAAGAGAGAGAGATAGAAGATTTGTTAAAAGGTGGTATGGCGAGACCACACTAGGAATGAAAGCCTTGATGGCGTACAGCTAACCGGCACGAAAAATCCATATTCATGAATACCAGACGCTCTGGTGGTCGGGTATGCATCTAATCTGGAGAAATCTCGTGCTTCCGCGGCTTGAAGATGTTGATGTTTCTTCTACCGATGCACGCGGACGTACGCACATGAAAGCGTAATAGTCCTAACCTATAGGCAACTTTCCACAAAGCCGTGGCGTTCCACCAAGTAAATGGATTAGTATGCGACTCTGGTACTGTTTCATTAGGTAAACGGAAGGCTATATCGAGGTATACGATCATACTGAATTGCTCGGAACAATTTTCTTGAATTGAACTTTTCAACTTTTTGCACCCCTGTTAACACCTGTATTGGCGGAACAAGTAGTTCTACCTACACTTAGCTTCTTTCAGTACTCTCTAAATCGGAATCGGTGAAATCGATAACGACTCGGATAAATCGTGAGTATGCTACTGTGGAATGGTTGCTGATTCAATCAGGGAAATAAATCAGTGATTTGAAACGGTTACTGATTTGATCGGTGCTACCGATCGAGTTTAGTAATTATTAATCAATGTGAACTGCATAACTTCAATGACTTTTAGCATTATTTATTTACAGTGATGCATTGATTTTGACGTTCTTTTTTTTGTATAAGAATTATAAAACAGTGAAGTTTTCAGTGATTGAGATTTAGAGAGTGTGTTTTATAATTTTAGCATTTATGCAGTTATATTTATACAATAATCCCAAATATTTCTTTAATATATCGTAGGAGACAATGAATGAAAATGTGCCTGATGTTGAAACAACAACAATAATTTACTACAAAATTATTATTTTTCATTTTTAAAATGTCAGTCTCAAAATATAATAGATACACTATTTCAGAATTTAATATTAATTGAATTTGACTTTAATACTAACTTTAACACTAACACTAATTCTTTGAAAGAACGTATACGAGAAAACATAAACATCTACTTGCAACAACGTCCGCGATGGCAGCGCCGTAAGTGGCAGCCATGTTGTCTGAGCAGATAAATTTCGAGTCGGGTTAGGTTAAGTGTTGATGTTTGAAATAACGGTAGTGTTGATGGTGTTTGTAATATCGTCGATGGATCAAGAAACTGGTGGTTCCTACTTATGTCCACCGACATAGTCGACAGTCTTAAGTTCATACCTTGTCCTTTGAAAATTCAATCAATTATATTGTGCCATACAAAAACATAGGTATCAACACCTGTTTAGTAGACAAGAAGAGAAACAATGAAAAACAAATGAAACAGAAACAAAGGAAGCCATAACGTTGTCACTTTTGTCACACCCCGTATATTACATTTCATGGTTTTGGAACAAACAAAAGTTATGGATTAATGACAGAAATATTAATTCAACAGAGTGAATCCAAGTACAGAATTAAAATAATGAATTCACTATTTGTAACCTATGCATGTGATAACCTTGGACGCACGTGTTGCGTCATTAATTATTTCGAAGTACTTGATGACGCACCAGATGCGTCTGTGTAGATAACTAATTTGATGACGCACTTGGTGCGTCTGTGTAGATGACTACTTTGATGACGCATCTGGTGCGTCTATGTAGATGACTACTTTGATAATGCACCAGGTGCGACTGTGTGGATGATTACTTGATGACGCACCAGGTGCGTCCTTTCAAATGACTACTTTGATGACGCACCAAGTGCGACTGTGTAGATCATTACTTGATGACGCATCAGGTGCGTCTTCGTAGATGACTACTTAATGACGCACCAGGTGCGTCTTGGTAGATGACTATTTAATGACGCACCAAGTGCGTCTTGTACACGTCTGGTGTGTTATTATTAATTTTTTGTAGTTATGTTACGACGCATTATGTGCGGCACAGTATATCTTAAATAATAATTTCTGAATGACGCACCATGTGTGTCATATTTATTGTCATTGGATTCACCCGAAAATTCTGAAATAATAGATTACAAGTTTGTGGTGTAAACCTAAAGTGTTCTTACAACGAGCATTAACAAGATTTAACCACGAAGACATTCAGGTGTAACATCTTAAACCAGAAAGTAGCTGTCAGTGTTCGCATCACTTATCAGTACCGATAAGGACACGTCTGATCTCTTTCTCGACGGTAGATTTATGGTTGAACTTACCTGGACATCACTGCTCGCGTAATCCCCGCTTTCTCGAGAGGCTCTAGAATGTGTAAGCGGTATGATAGTCGGTGGATTATTGTGACCTTGAGGTACAATAAGTCCTCGCATCGTCGAGGTAGCTCCTTTTCTGGATCGATCACGCGGAAGGCTGATGTCCCCGGCTGTTCGCAGCGAAATAATACCTTCCCCTCTGTTTTCTGGCCGCAGATTTAACGTGAAACATACTCTGAAATACCGGTTTAACCATGATTGTCAACACTGTTACGAAAAATGTTCAAATATTGGGATTGAAAGTAGTTTATGTACACAATTTTCAGTTGTCGAAGACTGTAAAATTTAATGCACATGGACTCTTATTATATTGCTATTACTGCTTGTTGAGAGACTTTTATAGGCTTTTATAGATGCATAGTAGAGATGCTCTTCCGCCATTTTGATGTATTAGTCGTTTAGTAGACTATCGATAAAACTCTGACAGTCAAGTCGAAGTCTTCTGCTCTTACACCTCCGCCCATTGCAATATAACGAGAGTCTACTTTGTAATTTAGAAATAATAATAATACAAGTGTTATTAACAAATGTTTATAAGCCAGTTATGAAACTTATGAGAACTCATGGAACATTATTTCTCTTCATTTTTATTTTTCTTAGGATACCTATGTGTCTACTATGTTATTATTATACAAGGTGTTTCAGTAATTCTTCCACAAAACATTTTCGTTATTTTGTATTAGTATCATTAAAACAAAGCAGTGTTCATCGAAATGAACACAACATAAACATATTTAAATTTATTAATTGTTACAAGCTAATATTGGAAGTGTAATTAACAAAGTTATCGTCAGACTTTTGGTATTCTGCAAATTCATTTTGAGGAAGTTTCAAGTAAGAATACATTCAACGATCCCGTTGATATGTTGATGGTATTAGATGAATGCCAACGAAATTTCAGACGCGCTGCTGAGATCTGTGCAGTCAAATATTCAGAAAGATCAGGGGAATTGGGCATTCAAGCGTTTAGAGTTTAGAGGAACATCTTCGACCACAGGCCTCTGTTAAACTGCCATACCAAAAAGGAATACGTTCAGTATAGCTTGATACTAAAACTATCGATGTTTTGGTAATTAAGAAGCTTTTTAAGACTTTTTTTTTTAATGAAGATTTTTAATAATTTTAATTATCATCATTTGCATTTGTTGTCAAACATTTCGAAATTTTACTTCAAGATTACGAGGTCATAAAATTATAGGTTACTAGATTGATTTTGATCTCAGTTATTATATCATGACGATATAAGTGATTTAGCTCTAAAATTATCGTTCTAAAAAATGACTTCAAGTTTTCTCAAAAATATAACCTTGAGATATGTGAAAATTATGAAAATGTAAAGAACGAAGACTTTGTGTAAAAGTTTTTGTCCACCATAATATTTGTCTTTTCCAACAAAATAATTAATTTCCTTGACATTGTCGTGTGTCGTTAAAAATAAAAATATTACAATATCACAGAACTAGTGAAACACCCTGTATGTTATCTTCAAGTTATCATTACGTATCATCTCCTAGTAATATATCATTGTATCACCTTCCATTTTGAATAGTCGCAGTTGGCACTGGGCCACCACTCGCTCCCATAAGGAAATCTTCAGGGTCTGATTCATACGGAGGCTCGTCATACCAATGTTGACCTCCAGGACCTGGACCTATGCCTCCTCCGCAACGTGCGTCTTCGTCGTACATGTACGTGTCATCTGCAACACAATTCCTCCTTTATAACTATCATTACTTACAATATTAGTACGTTTACGGAAATCAATAGACACTGGTTATCAAACATAAATAAACGAATTTGGTAGAAAATATTTGAAAATAAAAATGAATATTTGGAAATACAATGCTGTAACAATGCTGATCAAAAATAAGGAAATTAAACGATATTATATGAATGAAAATGTTCTATCCGACCGAGAGTAGCATAAATGCATGCGTGAGCGGGGTGCTCTTAACGGCTATTTATCAAACGACCATTTATCGAACGTTCACTTACATTTGATACAGGTAATAAATAACTGGCAAAGAACGAAAAATTTGTATCCATGAAAGGTATGTTAAATTGTCTATAAACAAGTTCGGGTTTGAACGTGATAATATAGCGCAGCAATGTAAACTAGGCTTAATGCAAGGTAATCTGAGACGTGAGAGAAGACCTCGAGTATCGTTGGTGCGAAAGACCGAGGATCAGGCAGACGCGTGTGGGCGCGAGAAGAAACGAAGGGACCGGGAATGGGAGCCATGGAGAAAGCAGTCAACGGGTGTTGACGATAACAAGATTAGCCAGAATATAGAAGGGGCTTCGTAGAAAAGCTACTGCTTTTCGGAACGACGCAATCGCAAATAAAAGCGCTGACTCAGTGATAAATCGCTAATACGAAATTTAAAGGGCGCCCGACACATCTCTCCTGACACTTTATTCGATCCTTTTCGAATCTGATACGTCCTGACTGAAACTACAACTAATACCGTTCTTATAGTCCCCGCAATTCCGCCGTAAGCTTAACGACAGACAAATGGTACATCTCTAAATATTTCAAACCGTTTAAAGAACGCAGGGTAATTCCGTTCCCAGGGAATGAGATTTCGTGAAAAAACTACGAGGGAAACCATCAGAGGACGAACGTTCGAAATGAGTCCCTGGAGGGCGCGAAGAAACGTACGAAACTGTCAGGCATTTGGGAGTCGATTCTCGGGGTCTGGATGGCACGTGCACGTTTTGTTCAAGGTAGATATACCACATCGACTCACACAGGGACAGCATTAAGTAGAGGATGTGGTTGGTCGAAGGAGGATGGATATAGATTGCGGAGAGACAAGGCGACAACTAGCTAGACTGTAGTTAACTGTTAGAGGTTACACTACTTGATGTACTCACCTCCAGGGAGGTGACCTCGCCCGTCCCGTCCGAGTTGCATTAAACCTTGCCGGATGTCCCTTAGTATCTGAAACAGAACAATAACGGCATGGTGAATGGACGTTCATTTCATAATGCGATCAAAAGTTTACTTTCGTTTGATCAAATATTGCGTTACTTATAGATTATTCACTTTTTAGTCTTCTGACTCTTATGACTGTTCAAATCCTTCTAGTTCTCAAGTTCCTCAAGTTTTTTTCAGTTCTTCAAGTTTTGTAAGTTTTTCAAGTTTTTCAAGTGTTTCAGATTCTTCAAATTTTACAAATTTTAAATACTTTCAAGATTCTTTAGATTGATCAGATTGTTCAAGTTGTTCAAGTGGTTCAAGTTGTTCATGTTATTCAAGTTGTTCAAATTATTCAATTTATTCAAATTGTTCAAGTCGTTCAGATTGTTCAAGTTATTCAAATTATCCAAATTATTCAAATTGTTCAAGTTGTTTAAGTTGTTCATATTGTTCATATTGATCATATTTTTCATACTGTTCATATTGTTCATATTGTTCATATTGTTCATATTGATCATATTTTTCATATTTTTCATATTGTTCATATTGTTCATATTGTTCATATTGTTCATATTGTTCAGATAATGAGTCCGTTCAGATTGTTCAAGATTTATAGATTGTTCATATTGTTCAGATAATGAGTCCGTTCAGATTGTTCAAGATTTATAGATTGTGCATATTGTTCATATTGTCCAAATTGTTCAGACTGTTCAAACCGCTCATCAAGACTAACATATACATAAAATGTTTAAAAATTTTTTAATTTTTCGTCATCACTTTTAATCTTGAAGCGAAGGTGCATTATACGTGGGTTTTATCGTTGAAATATAGTTAATACTTATAATAACATAAACCGTGCGTACACAACATTATATTAATCGTATGTGTCCCAAAGAGGTAAAAAAAAAAGAAGAAAGGGACGATGACGAGGTGGTCGTCCACGGGATTATCCCGCAGTTTCTCGTGCAGCAAAGTAGAAGTCAACCGTTTGGCGGAGAAAATAGAAGGCGGGGAACACGGTGGAAAGAAAAAGGGGGGTTGTCCCTAGGGAGCAGTAAACCCACAGAGGTAGAAGTGACACTAAAACTTTTACACGGATACCGACCTTTATTTCCATATTGCTCGCAGCCTCAAAGGAAACTCTCCGCTTTATTTCTTCCTGTCTTTTTCTGCCTGTCTGACTAGCCTACGGCCAAGAGCAAGCAGTTTCGGTCAATTTCTGGGAGATCCCTTTCGCTCCCTTTAAATTCCCTGAAAGGCTATGCTTTTCTCGCATATGAACGTCAGTTTCGAGTGATTAACATTCAGACTTTGCTTTTAGTTTAGTTTGAAACAACGGATAATTCTCTGCTCGTATGCTGCCGGTTCGGATATAGCGGTGCCGTAAATTATACGAGATTTTTTAGGGATATAGGGATTTTGGGATGTGGGGATTTTGGGATGTGGGGATTTTGGGATGTGGGGATTTTGGGATGTGGGGATTTGGGGATATGGGGATTTTGGGATTTGGGAATTTTGGGATTTTGAGATGTGGGGATTTTGGGATATGGGGATTTTGAGATATGGGGATTTTGAGATATGGGGATTTTGGGATGTGGGGATTTTGGGATGTGGGGATTTTGGGATATGGGGATTTTGGGATTTGGAGATTTTAGGAATTTTGGGGATTTTGAGGATTTTGGGATTTGGGGATATAGTGATTTGGGCATGTAGGGATTTGGGGCTGTAGAAATTTGGGGATGTAGGGATTTGGGAATGTAGAAATTAGAAAATGATGAAATTTCAGAATTTAGGAATTTGGGGATGTAGGAAATTAGGATCTAGGAATTTAGGGATGTAGTGATTGAGAGCTGTAGAGATTTGGGGATGCTAAGACTTAAAGGATATAGGGATTAGTGAACGTAGATATTAGGAAACGGCGAAATTTACGAATTTATGAATCTGCAGATCTAGGGATTTGAAGGTGTCTAAGAAATTAGATAACTTTGAAAAATTTAGAAATTTATGAATTTGCAAGCTTGCAAGAAACCATAAAAACAAAATAATTACAAAATCGTGAAAATTGATAAAATAAATAAAAGAATGCAGGGTTAAAAAATTATGCAGAAACGTGCTTGAGCAAAAGTTCACGTAGCCCAACGTAGGGTATTTAAATAATTCTTGGTATAATTTCCTTTTATCCTAAAGGAGCCTATCACGATCAAACCAATCCGTGCAGCAGCTCATTTATTTCCCTCCTTCAATTCCGTAGCGCGTTCCCTGGATCATCGACAACCCTGCTCTCGTCGTTCAACCAATATTAGCTCTGGAAGCCAATGGTTTTATCCGATACAATGCTCCCCCTGCTTTCCAACCCTCCAATCCGATGTTCGACGAAATTCTCGCAGCAAGAAATTTGCATGTGTGCGAACTCTCATCTTGTGCACTCGTTCTTCCGTCTTTTTCGAGCATTTCTTAAATTGAGGCACTACGCTGCTCTATGTGTCTTGAGCGATACTTCTTATTATGCAAAACAGCGAGATCGCTACCGATATCATCATAATCGTTAATGTGTACAGCCATGTTATGCCGTGAATTTTTTATCTGCAGTCGTATGGCATCGCTGCCAGCGAAATGTACTCCCGCCTTCGCTTGTTTTTCCTTTAAGCGCTTTTCTTTTTATCGATTTCTTTCGGTGGGGGCGTTTCAATTCGTGGTATATTATACTAGCTTTGCTGTTATGCTGTGAAACACTATACTACGAAATATTGTGGTGGGCAGGTCGTTATTTTGGGAATTATTGTATTAGATGGATTGTTAGTTTAGGAGTTTTTGTATTAGGTGGATGGTTAGTTTAGGAATTATTTGATTAGATGTGTTGTTAGAGTAGGAATTTTTGTATTAGGTGTATTGTTAGTTTAGGAATTTTTGTATTAGATGTATTGTTAGAGTAGGAATTTTTGTATTAGGTATATCACTATTTTAGGAATTTTTGCATTAGGTGTATTGTTAGTATAGGAATTATTGTATTAGCTCTATTATCCTAGGAAATATTGTACTAGGTATACGTTCATCCTAGGAAATATTGCTACTAGGTATACAGTTATCCTAAGAAATATTGCACTAGATGAACTTTCATCCTAGAAAATATTGCAGTAGGTATACCTTCATCCTAGAAAATATTGTTACAGGGTGTCTCACAATTAGTGTAGGTCCGTGAAATGAGGGGTTGCTGACGTGATTCTGAATAAGATTTCCCTTTGCGAAAATGGGGTATGAAGCTCCGTTCTTAAATTATTAAGGAAAAACAAGGACCAATCAGAGCGCGAGGATTACGTATGCGCAGACGCGAGAGCGGGAGCTTCGGATAACGCGTAGTTATCCAACGCGTGGTAATCTAACGCGTAGTAATGCAATGCGTGATAATGCAACGCGTGGTAATCCTACACGCAGTAATCCAACGCGTAGTAATACAGCGTGTGGATATCCAACGCGTAGTAATACAGCGTGTGGATATCCAACGCGTAGTAATACAGCGTGTGGATATCCAACGCGTAGTAATACAGCGTGTGGATATCCAACGCGTAGTAATACAGCGTGTGGATATCCAACGCGTAGTAATACAGCGATAATACAGCGTGTGGATATCTAACGCGTAGTAATTCAGCGCGTGGATATTCAACGCATATTAGTTCAACGCGTACTAATGCAACGCGTGGTAATTCTAAGCGTAGGAATCTAATGCGTGGTACTCTAACGCGTAGTAATACAGCGTGTGGATATCTAACGCGTAGTAATTTAGCGCGTGAATATTCAACGCGTAGTAATCCAACACGTAATAATGCAA